CTTTTTCTGCCTAAATAAAGTAATGATTACTGTATTTATAACTAGCATATCTCTACTTACGGTCAAGTTATACTTGCGAGGAGTGAACATTTAGACATAGAGAAAAAGTATCAAATGTATCTTGTGCAGAAAAGTTAGCTTTTCTTTTACACGTGTGTGAAAACCAACAATATTTAATGAAAAAAAAAAAAAATATCGGCCGATATATCGGAATATCGGATTTTAAAACCCCAAAATATTTGTATCGGTATCGGCCTTCAAAATCCTTTATCGGTCGGCCTCTATTTAGGATGTAACTTTTATTTTATGTAGTAGATCTACTGTCTAACGTCACTCATCCACGACTATCATATTGTCTATAATACCCATTTCCAGACACGTTCAGTACAGTAATGTTATTTCTAGGGATGCACGATATATATCGGCCAGCACATCGGTATCGGCCGATATATGTTCATTTTTAATGTTATCGTTATCGGCCTGGTAAGAAAATGTGGGCGATGTATTAAAGCCGATAAATAATGTATTGTTCCCTTCAGCTGAGACACTTGTTGAGAACTGTTTATGTTTTTGAATTTCTTGAAATATGATTGAAATCTCTTCAAAAAATGAAAATACGGTTCGGTACAACATGTGCAGCGCAAATCTGTCATATCGGCTATTCAACACTATAATGAAAACATCATTATAATTGTGCGCTTGGGACATGGATTTAATTGTGAGACTTTTGTATTTGTAATCAGGCTCTCAAAAATGAGATAAAAATTTGGATTTAAGTTTATCGGCCGATATATCGGTTATCGGCTTTCAAATATAAAGAATTATCGGTTATCGGTATCGGCTAAAATTTTCATATCGGTGCATCCCTAGTTATTTCCTACGATCTTACTGTTACACTGAAATTGTTCAATCTGACCGTTTTCGTTATCATATGTGATGCGATCTGGGAAAACCCAACACATGGTGAAATTTGACATATTAGAGGTTTTGATACAATATTTAAGCTGGATTCAAGCCCTTTCCAAATCTGTTTTTATTTATTTTATCGGTTATCTGTAACAAAAGTTACGGTTATCTGAAGTCGGCTGATCGCTATGATTTTTAGAAACAAAATTTTGAGAAAAAAAGGTTTAATTAACGGTCATGTCCTGCTAGCTGGACGATGGCACTCCTTTTTTATTGCCTTTTTTTAATATCACATATTTTAGTAATCATCATAGATTAGATATCATTCGAAAGCTTACGAACTCAAAATTCATCCTTTGAAAACCGTTTGAAATTGGACGATTTGAGAGGCGAGCAAGATCTTTTAGACGAGCAGCTTCAAACTTCAAACACATCATACCCACGATAACGCTGGATAAAAATAAATAAATAAAAACTTGCGTGCCGTTGTAGTTCATCCAGGAGTGGATTTTATTCTGTTATGTGGTTTATTTTGATAGGTGAACTGTCTTTGTAGTGTTTTGTAGCTAAACGGGAGATTTGTCTTTTCACAGTCTTTTCAGCTGGACATTATAAATCGCTATTTTTCTGCACTAAACTAATGAATTTTCCCAAGTTATATTCAGAGATGATAAACAAGATGTTATAGAATAATAATTTAATAAAAAACTAATTTTTACAAAAAAACGGACATTCAATCTATATTTAGACTTTACTGAAAACGTACCAACGCGACATCCGACGGGTTTTCCCAGATCGCATCACATATTATACACTAGAGCCCGACCGATAAAGGATTTTGAAGGCCGATACCGATACAAATATTTTTGGGTTTTAAAATCCGATATATCGCCCGATATTTTTTTTATTAAATATTGTTGGATTTCACACACGTGTAAAAGAAAAGCTAACTTTTCTGCACAAGATACGTTTGATACTTTTTCTCTATGTCTAAATGTTCACTCCTCACAAGTATAACTTACATTTTTACAATGCAGGGACTGTAACTAGAGATATGCTAGCTATAAATACAGTAATCATTACTTTATTTAGGCAGAAAAAGTTCATTGTGGTTTCCAAGCTCATTAATGTTAACGTTAGCGGTCTTCCACTGATGATAGTGGCATTAGCTATAGCTTTATGGTTAGCTAGTCTAAGATGAGCCATAATTTAGCAATAGATAACATCATACTGCAAATTGTAAAACATACATTGTCAATATAACAGGCCAAGGAGAGATGATTGAAGCGTGTTTCATCCGTTTTTATTTTATTTTTTAAATATTCATTTATCGGCCATTGTAACTGCCGATACCGATATTTTGAAAAATGCCTAATATCGGCCGATAATATCGGTCTGGGTCTATTATACACTCACCGATGTTGACATTGCTGTTTGTGAAAGATACACCAATAGTTAGTGAAATGCCTTATGCTAGATAACAGCACAGATGTAACGTTAGCATGGTAGCATTAGTTCAGTCCAGCTGATAATTGTAGCGTTGCAGTGCGAGTTTACATGAGTTTCCAGCATGTCGTGTGATGCTTTCTCCGGTGTGTGTAAAGTCTCAATGTGGCCGTGTACGAGTGCTCTTGTAAAAATTGGTTGCAATCTGAAACATCACCAATAGGTGCCGCTAAAAACTACATATAGCACCTTTAAAAACGGACGTCACATGAGTTGAACTTAAAGCTGAGTGGCAGTTCTCAGTGCGCACATGCTAATGAGGCAGACAGGAAAACATTAACCACGCTGGTCACCTCTTCTGAAGAGACTCGTGACTAGCTTCCATTTCCATAAGCTTTCAAAGCTCTTTTAACGACACAAGAGGCCACGGTCCCAGTGGCAATTAAAATCATGTCGGGACACGCCATAATCTGTTGGCATAAACGGCGGCAACAAATGTTGGCTGGAGAAAATCTCAGGAGAAAACGGTCACTTTGGCTACCAAAGACAAGCTCATTTCTGAGAACAGCCCATCATCCATGTTACGCAAAACACAACAGCTAGGAACAACACTGCAAGTGTAAATGACATCACAAGGGAATTACAGCCCCAAAACCTAATGTCACCACACCCATCTGTAACTCTCAATCTAAACAGATGATAACATTTCTCTTAACCTAAATACAAACCTCCAAAGAAAGGTCCATAAACAACAGGAGAGCTGCAATCTTGTAAAAAAATGTCTGGACCGCACACTGAGAAATAAACACGAGCACAACCGTTCAGGCAAGATGTGTGACAAGTACGATTAGCTGCTTGCGGTCTAAAATCAATTTTACATGTACAAAAAAAGCCAATAGAACTGGCCTTAATCCCGTTGCCTTAAAATCCGTGTTAAATAAATACAGTTCTTTCGGCACACAAAAAACAGCACATTATTCTTTATCCATCTTTGTGGTGTAAGAAAAAGGACATATGCTAGGATACAAGAGAGAAATTGACAATTCACTTCTCATAACCTGCCGTCTGCAGGGGAGTTCATATTGTTTAGGGGGTCCAAAAAAAATAAAACATAAATAACACGGCTGCCTCGGAGCAAAAAGCATTTTCTTTGTTTCAACAGGAATCCAGGGATCCGAGGAGGGGGGAACGTCTGAGCCGTTCTTGATGTTGAAAAAGAAAAGGTTAAGAGGCCGAAACTGGCAAATAAAGAAGGGGAAAGAACTGTCTGGAAATTTTGGAAATGCATGCCAACAGACTTTGAAGACCTGAGCCATTCAACACAGAAAAAACTAATCTGAGGCACTCAAAACCAAAGAAAAAAAATCCATTATCGATCGGTGTTTGTTGTGGGACAAAAAAAGAAAGCACCTGCCAGAGTGTACGGCATTGGGCGGACACTTTGAGCTTCAGACCAATTTACAGAGTAAAGAGGAAGAACTGCATTAGCACAACAGAGACGGACACACTGACAACTGATAGCACTAGTCACAAATCCCTGAAAATCACTTCAGATGGACACACACGCTAGGGATGCACCGAAATGAAAATTCTTGGCCGAAACCGAAAACCGAAAAAGAGTTTTTTTTTCGAAACGCCGAAAGAAATTATGCCAATTATTAGTATCATTGCATTTATGGTTATGACTGTGTGCAAACTTTACTCAAATCAAGGCATTGCAATTGCATAAATTAATATAAATTACATTTATTATAATTATAAATAATTAATTTATTAAAATAATTATTAAATAATTTATTTATAATTAAAATACATTTTCAAAGAATAAGTCAATTACAAATTGTGCAAATATTTATTTAGCACGATGCAGAGTATAAAATAAAATTCAAACTAAAATGTGTTTGACCCCACTCGTGTGTACATTAAATAATAATCTACTGGCCTGCAGAAAGGTTTTAAAATGAAATGTCGAAAGCCGAGCGCGAACTTCTCGCCACACCAGCGCCCAGTTTACACGTCTAAATTAGGTGCATTTTAAAAATGTATCTTTTTAAATGAACAAAGTCCATGTTTAATACAAATGTACATGAAACATGTTTAGTGAATGTAGAAAATGTTTAAGGGAGCATTAATTTAGTTCTATAGATACATATTTTTTGTAATGTCACAAGTAATAATCTCAGGGTTTACTGGGTTTAACATAATTTTTTTGTATTGGTGGTGGAATACTAAAAAATAAACCTCGTCATGTGTTAATCTTTCTTCTTCTCACCGATTCCTGGTTAGAGGACAGTTACTTGAGTCATCCCAACGGCGATATAGTTGGATAAACGAGGCTTCCGTCTCCTCGCGGGTTCAGATACACTGAAATACGTCCACACCGCAGACATGTTGCTTCAGACAAGCACGTGCAGGTCGCGTTTTCTGTTTGCGTCATCACAACATTTCGGCCGTATTGTTTCGGTGATAAAAGTCTTTCGGCCGAAAACCGAAAATGCACTTTTATTGCAAAATGCAATATCCGGTGCATCCCTAACACACGCATCACTGATCAACCACATAATTGATATTCCACATGATCTGCACGAAACAAAAACAATATGAAAAATGTTAGCGCAAAAGCCAAAAAAGCTAAATACAATTCTGACCTTGGGTTGGGCGCGTCGAGGAAAGGCGACCTTGGGATCAATCTGTGCACAAACAGAAAGAAAGAGAGAATGAGGATTAGAAAAGCAAAGTCATATTTGAATGCAGTTATCCACACCTACATTTAATACACTCTTTCATACTCTACACTCGGTTGTTTTAAAGGGACAGTTCATCTAAAAATAAAAAATTCGGTCAGTATTTACTCTCCCTCATGTTGTCCAACCCCATAAGACCTTCATTCATCTTCAGAACATGAATTAAGATATTTAAGATATTAAGATCACTCCTGCATACTAGTCCATAGGCTTCTTGAGGGATTGAAACTTGCCGGCCTCGAAAAGTCATTAAAGACATCGTCCAAGTGACCACAGTGGCTCAATCTTAACTTTATAAAGTGACGAGAACACTTTTTGTGCGCAAAAAACACAAAATAACTTTACTTGAACTATTCATTTCCTTCTCTCTGAGCCTCGAGTCAGGTTGCTAGTTTAACAGCGCATCATCTGTTGTTGTACATCACACACATGACCAGCGTCGGCCAATAGTGAGCCTACGTGTGACGTAGCTCTACGCAATCACACTCCGTTAACTGACTACAGGCCCATGGAGAAGGAAGTGAATAGTTGAAATAAAGTCGCTATTTATGTTCGTTTTTGCGCATAAAAAGTGTTCTCGTCGTTTGATTTTTAAGTAGTTCATTTTTAAAAAAAACTTTTGCCGATAATTTACTCACCCCCATGTCATCCAAGATGTCCACGTCTTTCTTTCTTCAGTCGAAAAGAAATTAAAGTTATTGATGAAAACATTCCAGGATTTTCTCCATATAATGGACTTCAATGGGGTCCAAATGACAGTTTCAGTGCAGCTTCAAAGGGCTTTAAACGATTCCAGACGATGAATAAGGGTCTTATCAAGTGAAACGATCGCTCATTTAATAAATAAATAACAAAGTTTAAGTTTTATAAGCACAAATGGTCGCCTTGCTCTGTTCTGTGATGCGCGTTCGTGACTCTCCTGTTCGAACTCAAAATGAACAAATATTTTTCGTGTCATTTGGTTCATTCAACAAACGAAATGAACGAGTTCGAACAGGAGAGTCACAAACGCTTATAAAAGCTTATAAAACTTAAACATTTTTTTTTTTTTAAATGAGCGATCGTTTTGCTTGATAAGACCCTTATTCATCGTCTGGAATCGTTTAAAGCCCTTTGAACAGTTTGCACTGAAACTCTCATTTGCACCTTGAACCGTTTGGTCCCCATTGAAGTCCATTTTATGGAGAAAAATCCTGGAATGTTTTCATCAAAAACCTTAATTTCTATTCGACTGAAGAAAGAAAGACATGGACATCTTGGATGACATGGGGGTGAGTGAATTATTATCAGTAAAAGCTTTTTTAAAAGTGAACTACTCCTTTAATAACTTTGAGGCCGGCAAGTTTTAATCCCTCAAGTCAAGAAGCCTATGGACTAGTATGGAGGAGTGATCCAGCTCTCAGATGTCATCAAAAATATCTTAATTCGCGTTCTTAAGATGAATGAAGGTCTTACGGGGTTGAACAACATATTAAATAAAAACGTAAATACCAAAAATTCATTTGGGTCAAATATGGACACTCAAACATTGGGTTAAAAAAGCAATTTAAAAATGTAACCCAATGGGTGGTGTGAGTCCATATTTGACCCAAAATTGGGTTAAAACAACCCGTTCATACAAATCATCAACACCTGGAACAAAGCCATTAACTCTTTGGCTTGTCATCTTGTTAATTTCAGTTTGTGTTCAATCTGCAGACAGAAAGAATTATCAGAGAAACTATTTCATGCTCCAGTGTCACACCGTCTTGCCTTAATACGGCCTCTTATGAAGAGGAGTTTCAAACAATCTCATACAGGCAGACGTAGTCAAGAGGAAAAACATAAACAGATCGAAATTGGGCTCTTGCAGGAAATTACTTGTCCATGTTCAGCAAGGCAAAGGCTTTAGATTGAAGCAAAACTCCTAGTGTAGTTTTGAACGTTTGCCCGAGGGCTCTGCAGCACATAAGTGTATCATTACAGACACAGAGCCTTTCTAAATAAAACACAGTTTCATATAATGTACAGTATATGCGGCACATTTTAAATACAGATATGTCGATTCACTCCCTTTTATTCTCCCAAAATTACATTCGACTGAGCTGTGATCGTTATCTCCCCAAATCAGGTCAATTAGAGAGATGGATTCGGTAACAGGTATGGGAACCTTCTCTGTGATGAATTTCATGTAGCGATTCGTTTTAACAATTAGCCTGTGGCTTGAACGAATCAACCCCTATAGAAACAACCCTGTGTGAGCAGAAACAATATTATGCTTTGAAATTAGGAGTCTTTCTCCATACAGCCTGAGAGCAAACATCCTATTCTGGTAAATTGAGCAACATTTGTGGGTCTAAACACAAAACAATCTGATTCAGGTTTAGAGTTCGGATTAGAAATCAATAAATGGGGTCAGGACACTAGTAGAGGTCATCACTTATTAGGCCTATTAGACCAAAAAATATGATTGCCATTGTTGCTGGTACTGGATTTATCAAAACAGAAGCAAAACCCAGCCATTGTCAGAAAAAAAAAAAAAAAAAAAAACTTAAACCAAACATAAGACAGCGTTTGTGTAATTTAGACTCGAGCACACATTGTGTAAATAAAGTCCTGTGTATTTCCAGATGAGCTTCTCCCATCTCAGCAGTTGCAGTTTAATGTGTTAGTAGCCTTTTATTGCTTTCAGATAGTGGTTTACATCTGGTATTAACATCCTTTTTGGCTGATCCTATCACAAGCGGTCAGTGCTACATGCAAGTATAAAGAGGCTCAAAGCATTTTGTGTTTGGATTACTACCGTAAAACCACTTCAGCTGGAAGTCAAACACATTGCATTTGTAAAGTCGTCCATGCTCAAAATAACCATACTGTAGAAGATTTCAGTCACATGAAGACAAGGCAAAGTGCAGTCACATGACGTATTGCTAGATAAGACCCTCATTCATTGTCTGGTGTCGTTTGAAGCCCTTTGCACAGTTTGCACTGAAAGTGTCCGTTTGGTCCCCATTGAAGTCCATTATATGGAGAAAATCCTGGAATGTTTTCGTCAAAAACCTTCATTTCTTTTCGACTGAAGAAAGAAAGACGTGGACATCTTGGATGACATGGGGGGTAAGATTAAGACAACACAACCTGTCATAAACATGACATAGCAGATTAATGATCAAACTTAAGAAAGCACCTAGCTTTATTGGTTAACATCACATTAAACTGTCAGGTGGTTGGTTTTGACATTGGCTGTCATGAAGACATTATAACTTTTTAATGACAAATTCAATTAGTCACGGAAAATATTCATGACACAGTCAATGTCAAAGCCAACCACATGACAGTTTAATTTTATTTAAAGGGATAGTTCACTTTGAAATTAACTTTTGATACATTTTAGCTTCCCTCAATAGCATCCAAGATGTAGGTTTCTTTGTTTCCGCAGTAGTTTCAATTTTGATATTTTTAGGTCAAACCGTTTATGCCTATCAGTCATATAATGCAGGTCTATGGTCACCACCTCAAAGAGCATGCACAGAGAAGTCCAAATTAAACATGATTCAATAACTTGTAAATGTAAGTACACATTGATGGCCTAAGACACGAAACAAGCGGTTTGTGTGAGAAAACAAACAGTATTTATATCGTTTTTACCTCTTTTAACCACAGCCACAAAGCGCCCGCGCCCTCAGATTACTGTGGTTACAAGAGGTCAAATCCATATAAAAACTGTTCATTTTCTCACACGAACCGCTCGTTTCGTGTCTTAGGCCATCAATGAGTGTATTTACATTTATGAGTCATTGAATCATGTTTAATTTGGACTTCTCTGTGCATGCTCTTTGAGGTGGTGACCATAGACCTCCATTATATGACTGACAGACAAGAACGGTTTGACCTAAAAATATCGAAAGTGAAACTATGTCGGAAACAAAGACACCTACATCTTGGTCGCCCTTGACGTAAGATAAAACATACCAGAAATGAATTTCAAAGTGAACTATCCCTTTAATGTCAAGTTGTCACGACAAAGACACTGACAGGTTATGATGTATTGGTTTATGTCAAGATGTCATAAAGACATCTTAAACAATGTCATATTTGCATTTAAAAATGTCATTATTGAGCGAAAGACACTAAATGACAGTTATCAAACATGCATAAACCCAACATATGTCATGTCATGGTTATGAAGGCGTCACGTCAGTCTTATGCACACCCCTTCAAGTAAAGTGTTTCCATTTATTTTTACTATGGCTGTCAAACGATTAATCGCGATTAATCGCATCCAAAATAAAAGTGTGTTTACATAATATATGTGGGTGCACTGTGTATGATTATTTTGTATATAGATATATAAATACACACACATGCATCTATATTTAAGAAAAAATATTATTTATATATAAAATATTTATATATAAATCTATATACAATATAAATTATATATAAATCTATACAGTATATACATGAAAATATTTCTTAAATATATACTCACATGTGTGTCTTTATATACAAAATAATTATACACAGTGCACCCACATATATTATGTAAACACAAACTTTTATTTTGGATGCGATTAATCGCGATTAATCGTTTGACAGCCCTAATTTTTACTATTTTAGAAATCCAAATCACAGGACATTCATTTGAACGGTTATACCAGTTTTAAATGCCGATCTGCAGGTGTAAAGAGGAACAGCGAGACTCGTTTCTTACAAAAACAAAACAAGCTTTCAACCTAAATCTTCACTAAAAATGCCAAATCTGATTTTTCAAATTTGCCTGGTAGATCCTCCATCAAAAGTTGATCTTTAAAAAGACATCACTCAAAGCGTTTACTGTTCCTGCACACTGTACAAAACTCAGCGCTGATTGCAGGAGACGAGATAGCAACCCCCCACTGCGATAAAAAGCTCACAGAAATCTGATTTCAGCCGAACGCGAGTGACACACAGCGCAGCCCTGAAACCTCACTGCCAGTCGTAATTATTCATTACCGTCAGATTTACAGACAGCATCAGACACGCAAGCGTTTCTGGAGAATGAAGACAGCGTGTGGTGTAGTCGCTCCAGGTGTTCGGCGTAGTTTGTCTGACATTTAAGTTTTTGTTTTTTTTTCCCCACAAACTAAACATACTAAAGAAATCAACGCACACTAGAGTCACTGGCAGCACACTGACTGACGTAACCATCCATTATGAACGTTCGCATTTTCAATATAAAAATATAATTTTTAATTGTTGTAAGTATACCATCAACCTGTCCAGGGACTGCAGGCGGAAACTAGCATTTTTTTTTTTGCTATAACCTGGCACATGTCATCTCTTCTTTCTTAGATTAATGATTTTTTGTGCATTGTCCCTGATCAAATAAATAAATTCATTCATTCATTCAACACTCTTCAGTAGTGAGCTAATGCTAATATAGGAGAGTGCAAGTTTACAATATGCAAAAGTGAATGTCCATGAGTCCAGGTCACTGAAAGGTGATCCAGAATGAGTTCATAACAGCTATCTTTTACTTATTTCCTATATAAACAAGGAAATGACATTTCAGCTCAGAGTCCTTGAGTGAACGTCAGTCTAAACATCATTTACACAGATGCCGAATTTATATAAACACAGAGTGTTGAGTTATACGACTGCATATGCAGGACTAAAAGGAAAATAATGACGGGCAAGTTGTTCATTTTTACTGGCCCTGCCAACATTTTCTGTACCTCCTTCACAAAACTTTTTTGAAACGATTGGTTTCAAGAATAAAATACGATACAGGGCGACACCAGTTTAAAGGGATAGTTCACTTTTGGTTAGTTTTAGCTTACCATCCAAAATGTAGGTGTCTGTTTACACAGTGGTTTCAATTTTGATATTTTTAGGTCAAACCATATAATGGAGGTCTATGGTCACCACCTCAAAGAGCATGCACAGAGAAGTCCAAATTAAACATGATTTAATGACTCGTAAATGTAAGTACACATTGATGGCCGAGCGGTTTGTGAGAGAAAACGAACAGTGTTTATATCGTTTTACTTCTTGTAACGCCCGCGGCATCAGATCACTTGGACGTGGCTGTGATTACAAGAGGTAAAAATAATATAAACACTTTGTTTTCTCACACAAACCGCTCGTTTCATGTCTTAGGCCATTAATGTGTACTTACGTTTACGAGTCATTAAATCATGTTTAATTTGGACTTCTCTGTGCATGCTCTTTGAGGTGGTGACCATAGACCTCCATTATATGACTGATTTGACCTAATTGGACGCCCTGACATCTCGGATGCCCTTGAGGTAAGCTAAAACATACCAAAAATTTATTTCAAAGTGAACTATCCCAGTCCTCAAAACTCTCAGTCCAAAAAAAAAAAAAACTAAATTAATAAAGCAGCAGGAAAAACACAGCGATGGGAACGGAAATGAAAAATTCTGTGGGAAAAACTTCATCTGAATGACATCTGTTTCAACGCATTCTCAGTTACAGAAACCAAGCGTTATGAAGCGATACGTACCGTCTTGGAGTCTAATTCGTGGTGTGGTTGAGCTAAGACTTTATCTACACTGGAAACATCTGCAAACGTGATGAAGCCAAACCCTCTGTGGAACAAAAACACAAAACACAGTGAAGGTCAGGAGATAATTTCACAGGAGAGGCAGAAAGATTGTGTTGATGCGCTCAGTGAAGGCAGGGGTGTTGCAATCATTATGACACATTTAGAAACTTCCACTTCATTGTGAGATAATTATAACTATTCAATGCCTTGATATTTCGCTGCTACACTTTTCCAATTGTTCCTGTGCCCTTGAATAATGCATCACATGTAGTACAAAATACAAAACATTGTCTAAAAATGTTGGCCGGTCTGATATATTTATACTAAGTGACCATTTAAGCCCACCCAAATCTAAATATGAAAGATTATTACTATAAATAGAAGTTATACTCATCAAAATTAAAGACACTTTTCATCACCCGTTCAACTTTATATGTGTTTTCCCCCTCAGTTTAAGTCATTAATTGTGTTCTGAGCACAGTGGGATCAGTTAATGCCTTTTATAAGAGATTGAATGGGTTCTTAGCCTATCTTTATTAGGAAGAGGTCAATTGCAACACTCATAAGAAGCTCAGCTTAACAAAAATGAAATTTCTATTAATGAATTAGGTCAGAGTCAGGGCATTTGTTTTTCATTTAATATGGTTCCAAATGCCATTCCAGTGCTACATATTAAAATACAGATCTTTTCAACTGCAGAATAATGCTTTAAAAAATACATAAATATCCTATTTTTAACATTATTTTCAATACTGAGCCACTTTCGTCATCATATTCTATAAAAACATCTCAGAACAGCAAAGTTTTTATGCCCCTTCTACGAATCCTGGATAAGTGAACACCAAATTGCCTCCAAACAAAAAGAAAATTTTGCATTTGCTAAGAAACTATTCCTCTCATGCTTTGACTTTGCATTTCAAAACATAACAAAAATGGGCTTATAATAGGTATGTAATGGACTCTCCGCTGCAGATTTATGAAGAAAAGACTGATATAGCCTACATGTGCAAATGTACTTTGTCTTTATAAAATATAATTAAAAAAAATAAGGGATCGCTTTCTAGCAGTACAGTGACAGTCCTAACTCAATGTCAAATTGCATTATGAATCAGCTTTCCTCTTAGTCAATAAAAACAGAGACAGAAACACGTGTGTTTACCTGGAGCGTTTGGTGGTGGGGTCGCGCATCACCATACATTCTCTGATCTCCCCGAATTTACTGAAATAGTCTCTAAGGCTGTCTGAACACAAACACAAGGACACAACAGGGTTACGCCGTGTCTACACTTCACGTGAGCGACGCGATTAAGTCTGCACGCTGCCGTTATAATCAACGAAGGTCGCGCGCTTCACTCTTCGTTGATTATGACGAGAGCGTTTAAGTTTTGTCGCGTCGCTCGCTTTAGTGTCAGTCTGTCAGATGACTGAAAATCACAATAACCTTGTGCGCAGTGACACACATACACACAGTCAGCTTACAAAGGGTACGATGGATGAATATGACGCAAAACAACTCCAAAACAGAATCAATTATCCTTACCTGGTGAGGTTTGCCAGCTGAGGCCACCGATAAACATCTTACTGTAAGGAGAAACAATGGTATAAGTGACTCCAGATGTCAAAACGGCCATTTTCCTTGTAAATACCTCATAAAGAGCGAGCTACGAACAGCATGAGGTGTATACCGGCTGAAATGAGCCTTAGATATGACCTGTCAATTAAAACATCAGCAGAACTGCGCGAGGAAGGACATGCGCTCGCTCGCTCGCGCGCGCTGAAAACAGAATCAAACTCCAAATACACACAAGGGCGCGCGCGCTTGTCTTGTCTCGTCTTCTTACCCCGGGTCGTGTAGTGAATCACTCGGGCTTCCAGAGGTGACTTGACTCGCGTCCGCTTCCATAGCTCAAAGCCCAACCAACTCCAAACACACGCATACACACACACACACACGGGCACTGCAGCCCCAGCTCAAGGAATATTACCGAACCGGGAGCGCTAGCGTCACACGTGGGTTCAGCGCGCGCTCCCGCCCCTCTCAGGAGGGGGCGTGGCTGAGAGCGTCAGGCAACCAATCCGGCGGGGATATGCGCCTACCTATCTATGGAAACCACGCCCCCTGTTGGTTAGCAGCGTTTGACAGGAACCCTATAAAGTTTACATACAACCAAGAGGCTTTATGGAAAAGAAAACGAGTATTTAAAACTAAAATGAAGCATAATAGTTCACAAAGTTGAACTAAAATCTAGTCTTGGTGGCTCTAGCAAATGTCATGTTTGTTATTTTGATTCGACGACTTGTTATTAGTGGAAATGTCATACATCCACACATAATGAATACGTGCACAGAGATAAATACGATTTAAATGATTTTGGAATTGTTTTTACTTTGTTTGCACCTTTCAGTGCTGAGCTTGGTTATTGTTAACTAACAATAAAACCATTAAAAATATATACTTTCATTATGCTACTTGAAATAAAAAAATCATGACCTAAAATAAAATATAAAAAGACTTACCTTTATGTAATTTCAGCTTGTTGCCAAGATGACATTTCTTCATTTCATTTAGTTTAAAAAAAAAACTAAATCCTACTTTAAAAAACAAACAAACCATATTGACATTAAAAAAAGTAAACTAATAAAAATGACAATAACACACAACAATATTACAACAACAAAATAACACTGGAGCTTAATGTCTGTTTTTCTGTGGTGGGGACTTTCCAGTTATTCTGTTTTTATACTGAGCTGATAATATTGTTTATCCCTAACATAACCCTAAGACATCATTTGGTGTGTATGTTAATTTTCCTCGAGGGTTCTGACACCCCCATGGATTCAGGCAATGTATTTCTGAGCCTTTCTCCGCTTCACTTTGCTGAGTGAGCATGCAGAATGGATAGATCAGTGTTAGTGTGACATCTGCTGACTTCATTGATATGGAAATGCTCAAATAGGACGTTTATCAAATGACTGCAGCTCTAGTTTCTCAGAACCAGATTACTGTGGAAAACAAGAGCATTGCTTCTCCCACTGATGCCAAATAAGAACTCTTGAACCAGATAATAATTTCTTAACTCACTTAAACACAACAGGTCATTCATAAATCATGCTGCTTATGTTGTAATAAACTTTCTCAAACTCATACCAGATCCAAAAAGCAGACATAAATTGATGTTCAAACTCTGATATTTGATATTACAATGACTTCATATTTTTTTTTAAATATTCGGAGTCAAGTAGTATTTTTCTATATGAAGGAAAAGTAACTGCATCAAGTTATACGAGTCTAATCTGTGAGGGAGACCCACAGTCAGCGGCATCTGTGTTTGATTAATGAGTGGATCTTCTACTTCCTGAAAATCTCATTTTTTTTTAATGCCGTGCATCTGTTAGCTGCCTAACAGATCACTGCGCTTCTTAGGGATAATATGCATTCATCAGGGCACTCTGGGAAATGAGAGAATTTTCTGCTTAGGGAAATAGAAATCTCAAAGTTAAGAGCGGAGAATGATACATGCAACAGTATCAGCTGTGCCATTCAGATTCCTCAGAGCAAACCAATCAGACCCCCTGCGGCAGGCAGATATGAGAGCAGGGCCAAATACTGGGGCTTTCCTGCATGTTTATTGAAGAATGTCACCACTCACTTTAAATATTCAGCCCATTTCAGCACACTTTCCCATGATATTTCATGCAAATTATTGCAATAGAAGTCACCTTTTCTCTACAAAGTGCTTTGCTGTGGGATCTTTCGCATGGCTGCACAGTCAGCTTGATCCGTTTCTCTGTTGAGCACCACAGGGATTGTTGGGATAGTGTTTATTTTTAGAACCAAGAATATAAATTGATAAATTCGTACAAACAGTGTTTGGAAAAAAAAATGAAATGTATATTTACATTTATGTATATGCATTGATTACATCTAGTGACTCTACTTGTGTGATAAATAAATACACACATGATACACACACACACACACACACACACACATATATATAATATACACAAACACACACACATCTGCTGCATAATGCACTTACCACACTATAGTCGTTAGATCAACCAGCATATGCAGTATATATATATGTAAATACACATTTATATTTTTAAATACACATTTATATCTAATATTTGTTAGAGGAATATTAGCAATTTATAATATTGCTTTAAAAATAAACACTATCCGGACCACCTATTCATAACCAGCCATTCAAAGCTTTACACTGAGTGACATCTATTGGCCAGAAGTAGCAGGTGCACGTAATTTGTTCTGGATGGACTTATTAAAATCCTTTTAACTATTAGGGAGATTTTACAACATTTTGAAGATATCAAACATGGTTTAAAATGGGTGTCCCACTCAGCTCCTGGAGTTCTTTTAATATTTAATATTGCACAGACCACAACTGGCCAACAAATAAGTCGAAAAATAAATTATGCTTAAATGTAGCCTACCAAAAATAAAAAAATAATACCGTAATAAAAAAATATACATACACTCATTGTAGTGAACATTAAAATGATAAGCAGTTTAACAAGAAGTGCTCCCAGAACCCGAATTCCCAGAACGTTCCCTAGTAGGTTATTTTTTAGATTTTATTTGTAGCCTATAACCAATTAATTAAAACGTTGCAGATGATACCAATAGGCTACAGAGATTATTCTAATGCTTAAAGTTGTAATTTATTTATAAACGAACAACTATATAATGCTCGGACACACTCGGTCTCTCTCGCGCAGTTGAGCGCGCTCTCGGACACGCTCTATCGCAGCATTTTATTAAAGCCGCATTTTATTATCATTAACGGGAACGGCGTTGTAACAGGGGAAACGGTAATTCGTTTGATTACTTGTTGAGTGGAGTGGAGTGTGTGTCTCTGTGTGTGTGTGTGTGTGTGTGTGTGTGTGTGTGGGGGGGGGGGGGCATAATGGGAGAACCATAATAGGTTCTCATTAATATTAGGCACAGACGGAGTGAACTGCTCTCGCTGACAGTGTGTTTATTTGCATATTCTGAATAGCGCGGACACGGATTTAAAACACACCACGCCGAACAGACATGTCGGAGAATAGCGCGGACAGGGATTTAAAACACACCGCGAGCGAACATGTCGAAGAATAGCGCGGACACGCATTTAAAACACGCCGCGATCGGGCATGTCGGAGAATAGCGCGGACACGCATTTAAAGCACGCCGCGATCGGGCATGTCGGAGAATAGCGCGGACACGCATTTAAAGCACGCCGCGATCGGGCATGTCGGAGAATAGCGCGGACACGCATTTAAAACACGCCGCGATCGGGCATGTCGGAGAATAGCGCGGACACGCATTTAAAACACGCCGCGATCGGGCGCGGACACGCATGTCTGAGAATAGCGCGGACACGCATTTAAAACACGCCGCGATCGGGCATGTCTGAGAATAGCGCGGACACGCATTTAAAACACGCCGCGATCGGGCATGTCTGAGAATAGCGCGGACACGCATTTAAAACAGGCTGCGATCGGGCATGTCGGAGAATAGCGCGGACACGCATTTAAAACAGGCTGCGATCGGGCATGTCTGAGAATAGCGCGGACACGCATTTAAAACACGCCGCGATCGGGCATGTCGGAGAATAGCGCGGACACGCATTTAAAACACGCCGCGATCGGGCATGAAACTGAGAACTAAGAACTTATTGGAATGATATTTTAATGTAGTTAAAATTTTTTAAAAAAAAGTAAAAATAAGCATAATTTACATAGAAAATATGGTACTTTTTTGAAGTAAATAAATTCAAAAATACCCCCAAAATAAAAAAACCATCATAAATGGATAGACAAAACTTTATCGAAGACAGTGATATAACATTTATAATAAATAAAAATTAGGATCACACCTGCGTCCTCTGTGCCCACATTTGTCCACAATTACAGGATTAAAGGCTATAAAGTGAATACGGTTTGAGGGCTACATATATTTCATTAATATCTTACGGCAACATATATTTTGTAAAAAAATATAATTTTTCAGTGGCCGGTGGCCGAAAAAGTTAACAGGCCCTGCATGTAAGTAAGGGAACAATATGTAAAGTTTGGGGAATAAAGCGGTAACAACCAGAAAAAATATTTATCCTGTATGTATTATAGAACTAAGGGGTACTTATTCTATCATGATACAACAATCTTACATTTGGGAGCAATTTACCCTGTAACTACATGAAACATGCGGGTAACAAACACCATTTTTCGTTTTCAGTGCACTTTTTGTTAAAAAGATTATTTTATTAATGCATAGATATGTAGGCTACTCTGCAATTTTTAAAAAGCCTATACAGCATGTACTGGTTTACCATTATTTCAAAAAGGTATATTCTTGCTAAATTGCTCCCAAATGTAAGATTGTTGTATCATAAAAGTAGAATTAGTTCTATAATAATTACGGTCTAAGTATTTTTATATGTGAACCCTTTATTCCCCAAACTTAAAATATTGTTTCCTTATACTTGTATTGTAAGTAGCTAGGTACACTATAATTACCGAAGGTTGCGCTGTAAAATCGTTTTAATTACGCAGTACTTTCCGGGCTGTAATCTTAAGCATTTTTGGTTGTTTAAAAAAAAAATGCTAAACAATTTTCAGATCCTAGAAGTGGTTTGTAAACTTTTAAGTGCACATTGATTTAAATATAAGGCAAAGTCAGCATCAGCACAAGGAAGAGTAAAAGCACAGCATGTTTGTGATACACAGACCTTTTACTCAGTGAGATGTTTGGCAGCGTCAGTGTGAGAGTACAGAGCAGTGAACCGTACAAGTTCATTTCAGCAGGGTTTCATGATGCTCTTCACTTAATGATTTACAGTTAAAGAGACCCACACTGCCCCCACCCTTCCCTTACAGAAAGAAAACAACATACAAGAGCAAGAAAAGAACAAATATTTGTAAATTGTTACTAAATACAATACCCGAGCACAACACAATCTTTCAAACCATCAGCATTCAAGAGACAATCTTAGAAAACAGTACAATATTAGCAACTGTTCACATAAGCAGCTGGTTTACCGTATCACATTTACTCTGCAATGCATTCTGGGAAAATAACTTCATTCAATTACCATTTTAAATAACATAAAAAAAAATAGCATATTAACCATTTAAAGAGAATGTTTCAAAAAATCCAACATACAAAAAAAGTGGAAATCAATACTGTGCGAAAGTGTGAGTTCAGGAGAGGATAAGTGAAAAGCTGTGACATCACTGTCTCTCAAACCAGGTGCAAAACCCTTGTTCAGCCAGTAATCTGTTCAGCAGAACCACCTGCAGACACACAGAACACACACACACACAAGTTAAAGCTGAAATGTAAGGATCTAGTAAAGAAAAATTAGCCATACACACCTCATCTCCCGTTTGTTTCCACATGTGCACCAGAGGAAGGCCGTCTTGATTGCCGGTCACCTGACCATAGACAACAACAACATCCGTCACGTTCAGAATTCTTCCAACAACAACAAAAAAGTTTCTTCTGAAGTGTTTTTGATCACCCAGTGCAGTTTCTCAAACAGTTTCTCTGTGCATGCTCTTTGAGGTGGTGACCATAGACCTCCATTATATCACTGACAGACAAGAACGGTTTGACCTAAACTAAAAACTAAAAACATAGCAAAAATTCATTATAACATACTAAAACATACCAAAAATTAATTTCAAAGTGAACTATCCCTTTAATGAAAAGCATTTCAATTTTAAACATTGTATTTGTTAACCTGTATGTACAGTAAATTGACGGTGGAAATGCAAATAGAACACTAAATCTCAGGGGGTTTTTCAAGTAAATTTATGACAAAGATGTTTAAGAATCCACTGCCAAGTGAAATGGTAAAATACAGTGGAAACAATCTATATATAGAATATACAGGAATAAATGAGAGAAAAAAAAGTGTTTATTATAACCTTGATGATTAAGGCCATATTTGCAGTTAATTCCTCCAGTGCTGCTCTGGCCTCCAGGGAAAACTCCTCCTCTCCTTTCAAAGCAAAGAAATTGTTAAAAGTATTCAGTATTTATAATAATATACAGGTATAGTACACTGTAAAATAGAATTGTATAGCAACAGATTACAAGCAATATTATTAATTCAATTTAACAAATTAGAATTGAGCAATAATTAATGAAATTATTCCTTAAAAGTTAACCATTTAAAATGAGTAACGTTTACACCAAAAAATATCTCACTGACAGACAGACGTCAAAGATTAATTAAGAACTATTTATTTTATATTGCCAGCATTGAAGACACCTGATGTTAACAAGCAGAATCACGGAAAAAGAAAATTGTAATTTTAAAACAAACACCGATCACCATAATGGTGACTTAAAATGTGTTTTTTTGGTTGTTGTTGTAAGTTTGACTCTAAGGAATTAATTTCATTAATTATTACTCAATTCTAATTTGTTTAATTTAATTAATAATATTGCTTGTAATCTGTTGCCACAATATTTTTGATTAGATAAAGCATATTCATTTTTACAGTGTACGTGTCTATGAGCTTTTTTGTTTTACCGGGCAAAGGCATGATATTGTCCAACAGAACCTCGGCTGCCTGGAACGGTAATGTCACAAAGTCTGACCTGTGAAAAACAAATCTTCACATATCAGATTCAGATCAACAATCACTGACGAAGGATCAAACCAAACTCGAGCCAGCTGACCTGATCTGCCTGAGGGTGGCGCTGTTCACGGTGTCATAACCTCCATTATCTACATATCTGATATGAGCCATGCCAGACTCAATGCAGTACTGGATGACCTGGGCTCTCTGCCAGCCACTTCCTGTCACTGGAGCGGCACAGACCACCCCCACTGACAGAGAAAGACAGAAAATAGACGTACTTCCTCAACTAGATGACAATAAACAATTCTAATTATTTTGGGAGATGATCACACTGCTTTCATAAGCCCTAGCTAGCTTACGCAACACTCGTTACCTCTACTGGAGAGAACTGAGGTTACGTCAGACGTTTTCTGATCGTATTTATATTTCACATATAATGTTATATATTTATATATATATATATATATATAATATATATATAACATTATATGTGACCATTGACCATTAATATGTATATATATATATATATATATATACACATTAAAAAAATAAATAAATAAAATAAATAATATATATATATATAAATAATATATATATATATATATATATATATATATATATATATATATACTTTGTTAAAGCAAATTAATATAAATAGACCTTTGGTGAGAAAAATAATTATTTCAATACAGTCTAGGAAAAATGTCATGAAATTGGTCACTACATAATTTCAATACTTTAATGTTTTATGTTTTATTTTACTAAAATTCAAAAAATCTGAAAGTCATTCCAGTAAAGCTATGCTGGTTCTAAAAGAGAGAAAAAGCAAAGGAAGACAACGACAAGCTGACAAGAATAAAGATTAAACTATGGTGGAGAGTAGACAGATGTTGTGTTGTTGTTCCTAGCTAAATGAATAAATGTCAATGTGAATTTAAATCATTCACCCGCTTCACAGACAAGGCTTAAACCTAGTCTCAGACTAAAATGCATGTTTGAGCTTAAAAGCAACCATACCATATATATGCAACAGCACCAATAATTTGTCTTACGCTGCACAACAGTAATGAAATAAACTTTTTTTGTAAAGCAAATTTATAAAAGCTACTTAAAGGAGAACGGTAGGTCACTTTTGAAAAAACTTTTGCTGATAATTTACTCACCCCCATGTCATCCAAGATGTCCTTCGGTCGAAAAGAAATTAAGTATTTTGATGAAAACATTCCAGCATTTTCTCCATATAATGGACTTCAATGGGGACCAAATGGTTCAAGGTCCAAATGAGAGTTTCAGTGCAGCTTCAAAGGGCTTTAAACAACACCAAACGATGAATAAGGGTCTTATCAAGGACCCTTCGAGTCATGACTCGAAAAAAGATTTGTTCATTTTGACGAACGAGTTCGAACAGGAGAGTCACGAACGCGCATCACAGAACAGAGTAAGGCGAGCATTTGAGCTTATAAAACTTAAACTTTTTTTTTTTTTTAAATGAGCGATCGTTTCGCTTGATAACAATCTTATTCATCGTCTGGAATCGTTTAAAGCCCTTTGAAGCTGCACTGAAACTCTCATTTGGAGCTTGAACCGTTTGGTTCCCATTGAAGTCCATTATATGGAGAAAAAACCTGGAATGTTTTCAATTTCTTTTCGACCGAAGAAAAAATGACGTGGACATCTTGGATGACATGGGGGTGAGTAAATTATCAGCAAAAGTTTTTTTTTAAAAGTGAACTACTCCTTTAATCTGAGCCCTGTCTGTGAAACCGGGCCTTACTCTCAACATGGAGATCTGTGTGTTTGAGTAGGGGTCTATAAACCTTCGACAGGGGTGGGCAGGCTGGGACATCCCGGCTGAGAGTAGCAGAGCTGCATGTGCTGAATGAGGGTGGGAAGGGCCTGGTAAGACGGATGCTTGTGCTGCTGAACGAACAGGTGAAGACCCGCCTCCATCTGCGACACGATCACCTCCACAAACACATCCTGAGGCAGCAGCAGCTACAGAGACAGCAGAACACACACACACACCTCAAAACACACCATGTCATTAGATATTTGATGTAGCTGGAATCAAACTTGGTGTGATGTGTCTTAAATGAGTAGTTCACTTTTAAAAAAACTTTTGCTGATAATTTACTCACCCCCATCCATGTCATCCAAGATGTCCTTTGGTCGAAAAGAAATTAAGGTTTTTGATGAAAACATTCCAGGATTTTTCTCCATATAATGGACTTCAATGGGAACCAAACGGTTCAAGGTCCAAAAGACAGTTTCAGTACAAACTGCAAACTGTTCAAATGGCTTTAAACGATTCCAGACGATGAATAAGGGTCTTATCAAGCGAAACGATCGCTCATTTAATAAATAAATAACAAAGTTTAAGTTTTATAAGCTCAAATGCTCGCCTTGCTCTGTTCTGTGATGCGCGTTCGTGACTCATTCATCAAAATGAACGAATCTTTTTTCGACTCGAAAACTTCAACCGATTGTTTTGCTTGATAAGACCCTTATTCATCGTCTGGTGTCGTTTAAAGCCCTTTGAACAGTTTGCACTGAAACTCTCATTTGGACCTTGAACCGTTTGGACCCCATTGAAGTCCATTATATGGAGAAAATCCTGGAATGTTTTCATCAAAAACCTTAATTACTTTTCGACCGAAGGACATCTTGGAATACATGGGGGCGAGTAAATTATCAGCAAAAATTTTTTTTTAAAGTGCACTACTCCTAAAGTACACAAAACTTGAAATATAGCACATTATTCATAAGAACTTTTTAAAGAGAGTCCTCACCCAGGATGTGATGGGCAAGCAGGGTAGAGGGATACAATTACTCAGATCCAGATCTTTAAACTTCTTCCTGATGAGTGAGAGAGCATCATCCACCTGCTCCTGTGAGCCTGGACCAACACAAATGAAATCAACTCAAGGCTTTAGCATTGATAAGGTCTCCATCATCATGGGAAAACTCACCATGGATGTGGCAGATCTGAATCTCCTGCGTGAACGGCAGGGTGGAGACGTAGATCTTCGCTCCAGAGCTCTGCTTGAGGAAGTTCACGAATTTCCCCTGCTTCCCGATCAATCGACCAACCAGATGCTGCAATGACAGTTTTAAATGGTCACTCTCCTTTTAAATCAGTAATGGACAAACACACACAGTCTGAAGGTCTGTAACGTGAGTCTAGTACTTCAAGATCACGTATCTTTTCTCTACTGTGGTGGATCTCCGAACACGTTCATACACAAATGTAATAAATGGGCTAATGTTACAGTACATCTCAGTATGTGGGAGTGTGTGTGTGTGTGTGTGGCTCACCGCTGGCACCTCTATGTCCCAAAGAATGATTGGCTGGGCCGGAGGAGAATCGGCACTAATGCAGCTTAAACCCACATCACCTGAACCTGGAGACCAGATCCATATGAACGTGACACACTGAGATGCGTTTACTGCTTTATGATTGAATCATCTGTCTGACTTTTCAAAAAAAAACTTTTGCTGATAATTTAGTGAAAAGTCATCCAAGATGTCCAGACGTTTGACTGAAGAGAGAAAGAAATGAAGGTTTTTAATGAAAACATTCCAGCATTTTTCTCCATATAATGGACTTCAATGGGAACCAAACGGTTCAAAATGAGAGTTTCAGTGCAGCTTCAAAGGGCTTTAAACGACACCAGACGATGAATAAGGGTCTTATCAAGCGAAACGATCGCTCATTTAAAAAAAAAAAAGTTTTAGTTTAATAAGCTCAAATGCTCGCCTTGCTCTGTTCTGTGATGCGCGTTCGTGACTCTCCTATTCGAACTCGTTCATCAAAACGAACAAATCTTTTTCCGAGTCAATTCGTTCGTTGAATGAACCAAATGACTGCTTCAAAGGGCTTTAAACGACACCTTTTAACGTCTTATCAAGGACCCTTCGAGTCATGACTCGAAAAAAGATTTGTTCATTTTGATGAACAGGAGTCACGAACATCACAGAACAGAGCAAGGCGAGCATTTGTGCTTATAAAACTTAAACTTTGTTCTTTATTTATTAAATGATTGATCGTTTCACTTGATAAGACCCTTATTCATCGTCTGGAATCATTAAAGCCCTTTGCAGTTTGCACTGAAACTGTCTTTTCAACCTTGAACCGTTTGGTTCCCATTGAAGTCCATTATACACAGAAAAACCCTGTAATGTTTTCATCAAAAACCTTAATTTCTTTTCGACTGAAGAAAGAAAGACATGGACATCTTGGATGACAAAATTATCAGCAAAAGTTTTTTTTTAAAGTGAACTACTCCTTTAAGCTACTCACATTTCACAATGATCAAACAGGAGTTTGAAAGTAAATGTCTCATGTACCTCTCCAGGCCTCCTCTTCGTCCTCTGCCACACCGTGGATGCTGGGAATCATTTTGTCCTCAATGGTGACCACGTCAGCTTCTGTAGGGGTCATCGCACAGCCTCTGCCCTCCTCAGACGGCTCTGCATCCTCTGAGAAGCAAGAACCACATCCAGAATCATCTCCTAAATGGCTGAGTAGTTTCTCCTTGAACGAGACGGCGTCCTGAAGATATACGTCCCCGCTGGCGCTTTGCTGCTGAAATGGTTTTTGAAATTCAGCCTCCAGAGGTCTTGACACATGTGGATCAATGGGTTCCTGGTTTTTCCAGTCCTCTGCTTCTATGATATCTAGGACCAGAGCAGAACTGATCTTTTCCAAGTTCTCTGGGTTCAAGTCTCTATCCGTGGAGAAATCAGACCGGCTGCTGCTATCATGACCGTCCAAGTGGACCGAGTCGTTGGAAAGGCAGTTTGAAGAGAGACAAACCAGATCCGACTCAAGCCCAGAGTCATCTTCACTAACTTCTCTGCAGTCTGGATGGCCTTCAACAGCAATTTTGGGTTTTTCTTGCCCAGTTTGGAGAGTCTCAGGGAAACGAACAGATACTTCTCCTTCTGGCTCAGGTCGAACTCCCTCGGTGAGGCCTGTTACGGGCGAGGTGCTGGTAATGTCCAGAACTGGTGAAGAATCTGTGAAGCTGCTGGTTTCAGAGGATCCTGAGATGTTGTGGTCCATTTTCAGGTCACTGTAAGAGAAGAAAAATAAGCAGTGTCCTGTCTTCACTCTGGAAAAGGAAATCTGTCCATTCTCTGAAGGTCAAAATACATTTCAGGATAACTTGGCATAAACCAAGATTTTCCATTCTAGTCACACTGCTGAAAGGATGATTTAGACCAGAGCTTTTGAAATATTTTGCCGTAAAAGACCCACGAATATAACCCCTTTCCACAATAAAAAGGCAGCTTGCGTATATGAACAAAATTACGATGTAAAATTAAATACTACACTCTAAAAAATGCTGGGTTGTTTCAACCCAAATTTGGGTCAAATATGGACGAATCAAAAATGTTGGGTTAAAAACGTAATTAAAAAATAAAAGTTGAAGTTGGGTTCAAATTTGAAATCACATTTTTAACGCAACATCTGGGTTTGTCCATATATTTACACAACCCAGCATCGTTTAGATTGTGTATATTTTTTAAATTAAGTTGACAGCATATTTGAGATGATCATTTTCTATACTAAACAAATGTGTATTGTAAAGAATGCTCAAATAAACTGAAATTGGAAAATACAATGAAATAATCACAATTAATCTCAGGCTAGTCTTTAAATGTTACTATTAAATTTGTATAAAAAGTATTATAACATTATGTTAACCCTAAAGCCGTATTCTGGACAAATGTGGGCAAATTAGTTTATTTATTTTGATCGGAGCGGTACAAGACTTGGCTACTTTTCCTAAGTTTGCCTCCTGAACACACACATTTTTTTTGACTCAATTCTACAATGTTAAAACTCCTTAATCTTGTATTTGGGTCAAAAATGGGCACCCATAGAAATGAATGGGGAAAACTGTCATTTAGAGCATTCTACTGTAAAATAAGCCAAAATAAGACACCAGGTGACAGCAAAGTCACTTTATCTTTAGGTTTTAGCTCGAAGAACTTATTGGAATGATATTTTAATGTGGTTAAAAAAATAAGCATAATTTACATAGAAAATATACTACTTTTTGAAGTAAATAAATTAAAAAAAAAACCCAAAATAAATGGATAGACAAAACTTGAAATATAGACATTGTTTAACATTTATAATAAATAAAAATTAGGATCACACCTGAGTCCTCTGTGCCCACATTTGTCCACAATTACATGATTAAGGGCTATTAAAGTGAATACGGATTTTGTAAAAAAATTATAATTAACTCAACATTTGCAGACGTTGCACCACTTGTTGTGACCTGTGGAGCCGTGGAGTTTGGTTTAAAGCTCAAATAATACATATTTGTAGACAATAATTCATATTAGAAGATATCATCACTTAAAGTCCCAACCTTTAAAAAAAACAAAAAAAAAACAGGACTCAAGTCATGAATGCTCTGCTACTGACCTTTCACCCAATATACTGGAGTCAGCAGGGGAGGAGTGAAGAGATCTGCTTCTGTCCGAAACACACACCTCCTCTTCAGTCTTTTGAGGAGCTGTCGTCCTCCTCCTCTTGAAGCTGTACCAGCACCAGCCTAGCAGAGTCAACAGCGAGACGGAGGCCAGCGGCCTAAACGACAGCAACATCCTCTTTCCACAGACCCCACTGAGAGAGAGACAGAGAGAGAGGGGTGAGAGAGGTCAGCTACATCTAATAACCATCCCTAGTCTTGGGTGGCATTAGTCTGTAAGGAGAGACGTCTGAGCTCAGAGGGGTAGCGAGTCTTGACACCAACCCTTGACTGAACCGATCTCATTACCATCTCAAATATCCCAGTAACACACAAACACATGCATGCGACCATCTTAAATACAGCTGTCACCATGACATTCACCACACATCACAGCAAATATCAATATATAACATTGCAATGTGTTTGCAGAGTAAAGGTGCCAAAAACCAACAATCACAACCCAGCAAAGAAATGCACGAAAGAAGACCAATCACATTTTTGTTAGATTTGTTTTTAAAGTGAACATGTTAGAGATAATATTTTTAATCTTAGGCTATATTATATATATATATATATATATAAGGAGATATTTTTTTAGATATTTTTTTATCAGTAACATCAGCCATAGAAGCAAAAAGAAGTGGTTTATGGGTTTGAAAAACGTTTTCATATGGGGACTTTCCACAGATATAATGACTTTTATCCTACAAACTGTACTTTATGGGTTTTTACATTTAAAAAAAAAACATAAATAGTATGATTTACAAGCCGTTTTCCTCATGGGGACGAAACTATTTTCCCACAGTGTAACGTTAGGGTTTACCAATACCAGGCCACATACACAGCTATCAAATTCAGAACATGATGAGAAACTTTTAGGTAAACGCAGTTATTGGCGTTTCAATCACGGGATGGGATCTTAATCTGTTTAAATGTGAAAGCATGTTAAAAAACCACTTGATGCATTTAAATCACAAGCAAAAAAATCAAGAAGAAAGAGACCTTCTCTCCACATATAAAATAAAAGAAGCCGGTGTTTGTCTTTCTGCTCACCGTGAAGTTCAGCAGCGCTGGTGTATGTGTGTGTATGACGTCACGGGACCGCACGTGTGTTCCTGACAGATTAATGAATGAATTTATCCAACAAAATTAAAAACGTGACTAAAACCTATGTATTTTAAGGCACTGCATAATATAACATTCACCGTAGTTAGGAAAAATTACGAAAAAAAAAAATTACACTACAATTATAACGCTGAACAGTTTTAGTTGGTCTGAAGTGATTGGCCTGTTGTTATGCGATCTCCCGCTCAAGCTGAAAAGGCGGGAAACTGTGGAACACTTGTGAGATTGATAATGCAGTATCATTAAATTTAACATTTTGATTTCATATTTCGACAGACGGAAAAGTTTAGGCCATGTACTGTTTATGTATCCATATGAATGTGTACAAGTTTTCACAATGAGGTCGGTTTTGAGGTCGATTATTTTTGACTAAAATAAACCCCGTCCAAAAGTCTAGAAATTACAATTATGCAAATGATTATTATTATATGAATATAATTAATGTATAGCTCCAGATCTTCAGTGTAGACTTCAGATATGTGATCTGTAAGCAGGGAGCTTTTTAACAAGCCATAAAACATGCACAATGATGAACAGAAATGGACTTTATTAGTGTTACATCTGTGAATATGAAATCAGATGATAACAATAATGTATTATAAAGAGGGTCCGGGACACAAAGATTTCGATCTTCAGTGCAACCCTCAATATTTCCTCCATGTTAATTGACATAATGCAGTGAACATGATTGATAGACAACAATTCATATTTCATGTTGTACATATTCAGTAATTAACTGCTTTACAAAAAGCAAAATAATACAATGTCATAGTCACTTGTATTTACAGTGTAGTAAATATACTTTTTCCATTTTTACACAAAAAAAATATTTACAGAGGTGAAGCTCTCGGCATAAAAAAAGGAAACTAAATGAGAACAATTATGTAAAATTTTGCATAACCTCAAGTGCCAAAAAAACGTAGTGTTTGAAACATCCATCCGTCTGCCATTACTAACTAAACCCATTCGTCACTTGACCTTTCTGACATTAAGACGTACCAATGTGAAAGCAATTTAAGATTACCAGAACAGAAAAAATAAAACTGCCCCCAATACACACATTTCAACATGTCCAAGAGTTAAAATGGCACCATTGTATATGGGGTTGGGATAAAAGTTAAGATTTCAAGCTTGAAAAAAATAAAACAAACACACAAACATCAGCACACATGGCATAACATTTACACAAACAGTTAAGAAATTCAGTACAGTCTTGCCGAACCCAGAACGTTACAGTTCACCGACCAAAAAAAAGAAAACATTAAGAAATAAGGTGAAAGGAAACATTGAAAAGAGATTGAGAAAGAGCATTTTGTAAAATCAACCCAGTGAGATCTTGGTTGTCTCTCTCGGTTCTTTATATCTAAATGCTTTTTCAGATGATTGTTAATTTTCCCGTAAAACTAATTAGATTTGATCTTCAAACCTTCCCCTCTAATCCAAAACTGACAGATTATCACCACACCATCATTGATTGCTTGGTAATAACATTTCAGATAGATCAGGCCAATCAGAATTCAGAAATTCACACGAATTAATTTGGGTTTTGGAAAGGCAGTCCACACTGAGAGGATCGGCAAGAAAAATCATTCCCGCCCTAAAAGAAACGACCACAAAAAAAGTAAATAAGATCAAATACAACTGAACAAAGGAATGGCACTTATTTAATACTTTCATCTATTACATTTAAGAAGAAAATTAGTGCTTTTAAACATAATACACTGTGATTCCATCAAAACAAACAAAGAAACAACAACTAAAAAAAAATTAGACTTCCTCCCATCATGTGTCAAACAGTGACTGGTTTAAACAGAGGCGTTCAGTTTATTTTGATCCTGGCAAACGTTTTAGAAGAACCTAAAGATTACGGTAAACGCAGAAAATGCAGCGTAATGTGTGTCAGAGGTCCAGCAGGGGCGAAACCCTGCTGTGCTGCAACTCTCATACAATCTTTTTGATGCTAGGTCTCTTAAAACTGCCGGTGCTGCGTTGTTTCTGGACCTGGCTGGCCGAGCCGTGGCGTGTGCGTCCGCTGGATGCCAGACCCATGGTAGGGGACAGGTCCACCTTCTCTTTATCCATTCCTGCTCGAAGCAATAACACACATGCGTGATTAAACAAAGCTACTAACACATGAGAATATATAGCCTATATTTGAACAGTCATTCAAAGTGTAAAAGTTAAATCAACCAGATATACCATAAGATTTATCATGCTCACATGATACAAATGATAAAAAAAGCACACACAAAAGGTGGCAAAGCTGTTGCTATAAACATTGGGAGTGTGTACGGACTAATATGGGACACGCGTTACATTCAGAGCACACATACACCACATGTGCATCACAAAAGAGAAAAAAACAAGATTGGCATGACCATGCTAACCCACCAAAAAACAGAAGTGTGTCAGCCTGACAGGAAACAACTTAAAACAATTAAACACTACTGTGAACGTAAAAAAAAAAACCCGGAAGTTTAGACGCATTTGGCAGATGCATTTATCCAAAGCGACTTGCATTGCATTCAAGGCACACATTTTACATTTAGTAAAGATTGCTTTTAAATGTTTGTCTCTGTAGGTTAAACTCCTCCAAACCAATCACAATTGACACTGGGTCTGGGAAGACCATATTCAAATTCTACATAATAGTGTGTTTCCACTGTCAAGTATATTTTATTTATATAGCGCTTTTCACAATATAGATTGCATGAAAGAAATTGCATTCCACTGTAGATAAAAAAAACGTATTGCATTGCACCTGGTATGTGAAGTAAGGGTTTAAATATAAACTTTAAAGTATAGAGCAGAGTGCAGTTAAAATGAAGCAGGAAGTGTCAGAGAACTTCACACTGCTTGAACATCTATTTTCCTATTATATAGACAGCGTACAGTCAAAGTGACACTTGGAAGAAGATGCATTTATCTGTGTTAAACATCTGTGGCTGACAATCTCGCAGTAGTGACAGAGACACAGACAACAGGAACTGTATGAGTAAGAGGCAGCTTAAAATAAATAGTCTCATGTGCTTCAGTACAGACCTGGTGCATGCTGGGAGGTGGCGAGTGAGGTCATTGAATTGGAGAGGTTGAGGTTGGCAGTGATGCTGAGCTGGCTCTGGGCAGGTGGAGGGTATGGAGAGGTGGGCGTTCGCAGACCCTCCTCGCTCGTTTCCTCATCGATGCCGGGCAAATAGGTGTCAATCAATCCATCCAAAAACTTGACAATCAGCTCCGCATAGTCTGGGAACTGAGTTTGCTGCGGAAAACAGAGAGCAGCTCAAGTTGTATACAGTGATGTGAATAAGTTTGGACACCCATGCTAAAGTTGCCTAAACAGAGGAATAAAAAAAAAATCATCTTTTGGATATTGATCTTAATGCCTTAATTAGAAAAATGAGGAAAACTCCAACCTTTAAGGACACAAATTTTCTTTGTCATAAGTCAGGACACCAGTTTTTAAGTTAGTTTTTAAAAATAAAAAATCTGCCTGACTCTATGGGAATTTAACATAGGGGGGCAATGACTTATGCACCCTGTATTTTAAGGAAAAACATTTATTTATTTATGATACATTATTCATTCACAAAGAAAATTGGTGTCCTTAAAGGGAAAAAATTGACAGTAATTTCACTTGCCATTTAAGTGAAATTACTGAACTTAAATATACAAGTTTGATAAAAATCATCATTAAAGAAGAAAATTTCAAATGGCATTTAGAGGATTTTGCATCTGAACTCTTCATATATATATATATATATATATATATATATATATATATGCATGATAACAGATTATGGTTTATGTTTTTCTCTTGCATTTTGAGAACAAATTCAGTGCCACTCACCTTAGAGAAAGGACCAGCAAACCTCCAGAGTCCATTAAACCCAAAAGCTGTGGAAGTAAGTAAAAAAATATATAGAATAAGAGTACTCACTCACTGTTTTATAACTGCCGATTATAACTTCCGATTATAACTTTATAACTGACAATACCGATAGTTTGGAAAATGCCTAATATCGGTCTGCCGATATATCGGTCTGGCTCTAATATATACATATAAGAGATGTGAGCTACTTTACTTTGCAGGTAGGATGTTTGGTATTGAGGTGGCGACTCTTCATGATAAACTACACTCTGCACAATTCCATGGACTGGGTTCAGAAGATTTGGGTCCTGACACAGTGACAACAAAGTATTAATCTTTGAATCCAGGAGGTTGTGACTGAAATAAAAAGCAAAACACAACAATGAGAGTCCCATTTCATCATTCAAAGCCACGTGTACTGAAGAGCAGGTACGTTTGGACTTACACAACAGGAAAGACCTTAGGGAAGACAACACTGGCCTCAGCTAGGAACTCATACAGGACCCTCTGCTCAAACTCATCTGATGTGTTTTTCACCTGAGTGGCCTGAAAAATCATATCAGATAATCAAATCAGAGTCAAAATTCAGAGGATGAGGATGATTAAAGGAAATGGCAGGAAGTCACCTTTATTTATATAGCCCTTTTTACAATACATATCGTATCAAAGCAGCTTCACAGTGATAACATGAAAATAATACAACAAAAGTGACACGCAAGACTTCAGAGGAACAGAAAATGACTAAATTAAAAGTAACAAATATTTACATTATAAATGCAAATTGATCTGTGAATGTGGAACTGAAAAAGTTTATTTCTTATTTCTTTATTTCGAGAAATGAAGAGATTACCAGCACAGTCAAAAGTAGAGCCTGGATTTTGGGATCTGTGAGAACTTCCTCATTCAGCAGGACATTGGACTCGGACACAGAGACCTTCCGCAGGTGGTGATGGGACATTCTTGGGGTTTCTTTCAACAGGAAACGAAAAGTTATAAACGGATGCAAACATTGGGAATCATTTCACGTCTTTGTGACCCTCACCAATCTCATATTCATTTTCCGCCACTCTCCTCATCTTGGGCGGCGTTGTGATACCCGATTCCATCTCAGGCCTCTTCGGTGCTTTGCTGTCTGACATAAGGTGGTCAAAGCTTTTTCTGGTGCCTGAGGGAAAAATTAAAGGAGTGGTTCACTTTTAAAAAAAGCTTTTGCTGATAATTTACTCACCCCCATGTCATCCAAGATGTCCACGTCTTTCTTTCCTCAGTCGAAAAGAAATTAAGTAATGGACTTCAATGGGAACCAAACGGTTCAAGGTCCAAATGAGAGTTTCAGTGCAGCTTCAAAGGGCTTTAAACGATTCCAGACGATGAATAAGGGTCTTATCAAGCGAAACGATCGCTCATTTAATAAATAAATAGCAAACTTTAAGTTTTATAAGCACAAATGTTCGCCTTGCTCTGTTCTGTGTGACTCTCCTGTTCATCAAAACGAACGAGTCTTTTTTAAATCATTTGGTT